CTGAAGCCATTTTACGGAACAATGGATGCGCGTTAACCCGGGGTGGCCTAGAGGGATGAAACTGCCACGGCTAGGTCAAGCGTCGTCTCTCCTCCCTCCCTCCCTCCCCGGGGTGGTCACGTCATAATACTTTAAGCCAATTACAGCTAGCAGCAGAGGGGAGTAGGGATGCATGGCCAATCACAGTCCGATACGTCATATGACGTCAGTGATAACGCAACAAAGACACACACTGCGCAACCTTACCGCGCGGCTTGCCCAAGCGGAGGGAGGAGGAGGGAGAGGCAGGCAGGCGGGCGGGCGGGTGGCGCGTGGGCAAAATCTAAAAATAGCATCTCGAGCCGGACACTCACCGCGTATATGTGGAAAAAATCCGTGTTAAGTGAAAGTTCAGCTCTGGCAAGGCACCGCGTATATGCGAAAACGCGCTAAGTGAAACCGCGTTAGGCGGGGTAATACTGTAATTGCTAAGTGTTGAAGACAGCTGTTTGCCCTTTGTAAACAAATGATTCATGGTGATGAGTGTGTATTCTTTTTTCAGGAAATTTGATTCTTTATGATAATATGTTATCACCCTGGCACCAAATGATCCTAAATTGTATAAAAATTTGGTGATAATGTATAAAGATGTGTTAAGGAATCTTGGGGGAGGGAGCCACCCTCCCCTCTGCCAGCTACTCCCAGATAAACATTCATCTTCAACATACAATAAACTTATTTGTTCTTATTTTTATCTTTATAGTACTGTACAGTACAGTATATGGTTTTCTCTTTGTCCATAAAACAAATTGTGTGGTTACATGTAACACTTTACAGTAAATAACAACCATCTCGGTGACAACAGTTGTTGACAACCAGACTTATGTGTGTCATTTTCAACCCAGAGAGTTCTGTTTCATATTTTTTATTGTTGATGTAATATTCTTTTAATAACCTTGTTTTACTCTTAAAGATCTTAGTTTTTAAAGTGTAGATCAGTAATAACATAACATAAATTGATTTACTTTAAACAGTTCAGATAAGGAGTGTTATCTCCACCCACCCACCCCCCTCCCTCCCTCCCTCCCTCCCTCCCTATACAGTGGTCCCTCGGTTAACGAGATTTCGGTTAACGAGTTACCTTCCACAAGATTCTTAACTTCGGTTAACGAGCAATCCCTCGATTAACGAGTTTCTTACGAGCCGACCTGAACATGTTTTTGCTTGCATTTGGCGGTCCACCAGCTGTAATATTAGTCCGCCAATACAGTAATCGGTTCTAGGGCTTAAATTCCTTACCATTTCAGTAAATATCAAGAAGTTATACTATTCAATAATTTTATAAGTTAATATTAAATTTTGTAGTCATTTTAACAATTATTGAACATAATTGAAGGTAAGGTCACTAGTTTCATGCGCGCCATCCAGCCTGCCAACACACCTTACAGGCGTCAGTCTTCGTTTCTTTTCAGTGGAGGTAACATCTTGCTTGAGACTCTCTTCAACTAAACGTTTTTTTTTCTGTGTTTGCAAGCAAATTATTGGTCATTTTGAAATTTATTTTACATATTGACAATATATAATGTAGTGCACTGTTGATTTAAAGAAAACAATCTTGAATTACACCAAGAGAACTAAAGTTTTATGGGTGAAATGGCGCCATGGGGTGACTTCTCTTCCACTCCAATGCCTTCTCTTCTCCCTTCTCCTCCACCCCCATTCTATTTCCCATCATCATCATCATCATCCAGGAGCCTTCTACAAACACACCTCAAAGTAAGTGTACTTTTCTACATTTTTTGCTGAATTTAGGCAATTTTCAGTGAGCTGGAACCAATTACCCAAAAACCCATTGAAACAATGGTTTCGGTTAATGAGTTTTTCGGTTAACGAGCAACCTTCTAGAGCGGATTGTGCTCGTTAACCGAGGGACCACTGTATTTCCTTTTTGGGGACTATGGTCTGCCCTAATTAGTCCGGTTTATCAAGGTTCTACTGTACAGGTTGACAATCCCTTATCCGAAATCCTTGGGGCCAGAGGCATTTCGGATTTTAGAATTTTTCGGTTTTCAGAATTATTATTATTATTATTATTATTATTATTATTATTATTATTATTATTATTATTATTATTATTATTATTGTTATTATTAAACAGGATCTGACGAAAATATAATAAAATTATAATAATAATTATAGGTCTAGTCGGTTTTTGTCTTATTCTTGTATTTTATTATTATTATTATTATTGTTATCATTATTATATTATTATTATTGTGACGGGCAATGTATTTTTATTAAAAATTTTATTTACTATGAATAATTATTATTATAATTATTATTATTACAATTACATTTTGCCCCCAGCCCTGAGGGTCAGTGATCTATGCCCGGGTGGGCTAATCCTGTTTAAAAAAAAAAAAAAAAAAATTCTACAAAAACTTTTCTTTCAGAGTTTCGGTTTTCAAATTTCGGATAAAGGGTTGTCAACCTGTATTTTTCTGACTAAATAAACTGAGTACATCAACACATAAAAAATACAGTACATCACCAACACATACCAGTACACACTAAAATTACATCACCAACACATGTACCAGTACATCACCAACACATGACCATACATCACCAACACATGTACCAGTACATCACAACATGCCAGTACATCACCAACACATGTACCAGTACATCCCAACACATGTACCAGTACATCACCAACACATGTACCAGTACATCACCAACACATGTACCAGTACATCACCAACACATGTACCAGTACATCCCAACACATGTACCAGTACATCACCCACATGTACCAGTACATCACCAACACATGTACCAGTACATCCCAACACATGTGCCAGTACATCACCACACATGTGCCAGTACATCGCAACACATGTACCAGTACATCACCAACACAGGCCAGTACATCCCAACACATGTGCCAGTACATCACCAACACATGTGCCAGTACATCACCAACACATGTGCCAGTGCATCACCAACACATGTACCAGTGCATCACCAACACATGTACCAGTACATCACCAACACATGTACCAGATGCATCACCAACACGTACCAGTATCACCAACACGTAGCCGGTATCACCAACACATGTACCAGTACATCACCAACACATGTACCAGTACATCACCAACACATGTACCAGTACATACCAACACATGTACCAGTACATCACCAGCACATGTACCAGTACATCACCAACACATGTACCAGTGCATCACCAACACATGTGCCAGTACATCACCAACACATGTACCAGTACATCACCAACACATGTACCAGTACATCACCAGCACATGTGACCAGTGCATCACCAGCACATGTGCCAGTACATCACCAACACGTAATGCCAGTGCATCACCAACACATATTGCCAGTACATCACCAACACATGTACCAGTACATCACCAGCACATGTGCCAGTACATCACCAACACATGTACCAGTACATCACCAACACATGTGCAGTACATCACCAACACATGTACCAGGCAGGAGTGCATCACCAACATATGTACCAGGTAGGAGTACATCACCAACACATGTACCAGTACATCACCAACACATGTACCAGGTAGATGCATCACCAACATATGTACCAGGTAGGAGTACATCCCAACACATGTACCAGGTAGGAGTACATCACCCATATGTACCAGGTAGGAGTACATCACCAACACATGTACCAGGTGGGAGTACATCACCAACACATGTACCAGGTGAGGTACATCACCAACACATGTACCAGGTAGAGTGCATCCAACACATGTACCAGGTGGAGTACATCACCAACACATGTACCAGGTGGGGTACATCCCAACACATGTACCAGGTGGGGTACATCACCAACACATGTACCAGGTAGGGTACATCCCAACACATGTGCCAGGTAGGTGCATCACCAACACATGTACCGGGTAGTGCATCGCAACATATGTACCAGGTGAGTGCATCGCAACATGTACCAGGTGGAGTACATCCCAACACATGCCAGGTGGGGTACATCACCAACACATGTACCAGGTAGGGTACATCACCCAACATGTACCAGGTAGGGTACATCACAAACTATGTACCAGGTAGGGTACATCACCAACACATGTACCAGGTGGAGTACATCACCAACACATGTACCAGGTAGATGCATCACCAACCATGTACCAGGTAGGAGTGCATCACCAACACATGTACCAGGTGAGAGTACATCACCCAACACATGTGGTGGGAGTGCATCACCAACACATGTACCAGGTGGAGTACATCACCAACATATGTGCCAGGTAGGAGTACATCACCAACACATGTACCAGGTAGGGTGCATCACCAACACATGTACCAGGTAGGAGTGCATCACCAACACATGTACCAGGTAGGGTACATCACCAACACATGTACCAGGTGAGTGCATCACCAACACATGTACCAGTGCATCACCAACACATGTACCAGGTAGGAGTACATCACCAACATATGTACCAGGTAGGAGTACATCACCAACACATGTACCAGGTAGGAGTACATCACCAACATATGTACCAGGTAGGAGTACATCACCAACACATGTACCAGGTAGGAGTACATCACCAACATATGTACCAGGTAGGAGTACATCACCAACACATGTACCAGGTAGTCATCACCAACACATGTACCAGGTGTTGGTGGTGCAGGAGACTGGAGTAGTGGTGATGGACCACAAAATCATTGTGAAAAACCATGATACAACAGCACCGCCGTAAATGAACTTTTGTACTTTTTGCCCTCATTGTGTTGATGCCCCATACCATTAATCCTTTTTTTTTATGATGTGAAAAAAATTTCAAACATCTCAGGACACCTGTGTTTGGGAAGTACTGTACAAGGACAGGTACAGGTACTGAAAGTGTTCTCATACTCAAACCCACATTCCTCTTAAGACCAGCCCTTGTCATAAAATAGAGTGTCTTACCTCAATGCCTTCATTTGGAAAATAAAATATATTTATTCTGCAGAGTGAAGTAACAGCAGCTCAGGCAGCTGTAAAAGCACAGAAGGAGACACTCAGTGCACAGAACAAAGAGATCACTGCCATGTCTGCACGTAAGGAGCAGATCATAAAGAATACTGATGAAGCCCAGCTGGAAATTAAACAGCTTGATCACAAACTTTCAAAGCTTAAATCAGGACAAAGGATGCTGAAAATAAGGTAGAGTATTCCTTTATTACCTCAAGCTTCACATTATATGTTCACCTCACCCTATTTCCAATGATGCACCTTGAAGAATTTGAGTTTTTATGTTTATTTAATCCAACACTCTTGATGAAGTCAGTAGCCAGCATTATCCTTCCATGTTGTACAAATTCATCTCTTTTTCTGTGTCCAACATGGTGCTGGGTGTAGATAATATATGTTTGCTGTGTATATAACACAATATGTTCTTGGGTTATTTCAATAATTCTTATTTTCATAGTCAGTTTTTGGTAATTATAATCTCGTTTGTGTCTTTGAACATTTCCATCTAAATTTGTGAGGCTTAGACCTTAAACTGCTTTCATCCCCCCAGACCACCTGCCTAATATGCTCATAAAATAAAATATTTAGAAAAAATCTAGAGAAATTAAGAAATTATATTATAGCATGCCCTTAAAGTTTGCTGGAGTTTTGCCCTCAAAATGGCACTTTTGATTTTTTTTCATTTTGTATTTCTTTATTATTATTATTATTATTATTATTATTATTATTATTGTTGTTATTATTTTATTATTATTATTATTGTTATTACTTTTTATTATTATTATTATTATTATTCATTTTCGCCCCCCAGGCCCCGATGTGGTCGGTGACCCCTGCCTGGGTGGGCTAATCCCTAAAAAAATAATAAAAAAAAATATCATTTGCTGACCGGTTTTTTTTTTTAATACTCTTGTGCAAAGTAATATATATTCCGTTGTGTTTGCCCTAAGGACAATTATTTATTTTACCTTTACAGTAAAGTCAATAACAACGGTAATGTGAATCATTAATTACTATTAAAATAATGCAATAATAATGATATATGCTCCCAGTGTGACCTTTTCTTAACTTTTGTGTGGCTTTTACCCTTTTTCCCTCCAAAACAATACAATTAATGAAAAATGCAAACTATTCTTTAAATAATGTTTATTAATACACCTTATACAATATAAATGAATACTACTGTAATATGGTCACACAAGAGGAGATGGGACGCCATTGTTGTTGTCAGTGTTTACACCCATAATGTCACTTATCCATCTGAAACTGAAGAAAATAAAACCCTAGTTGTTGCTGTAGTAAAATTAATGTAAAAAAATATATTTGATTTTATTAATGTTATTTAATGTACAGTAATGGTAACCACTGATGTTAAAGAAAAAAAGAGTGATAGCGTAACGCTAATGTATACTTGTTCTCAAGGAAACCAGGCCATTTATCCTGTTAAGAATATGTACCTAAAAGATTCATTATTGTTTATTACTGAATATTTATTTGATTGAATTAATGTTTATACACTGGTCCCTCGATTAACGATAGGTTCGATTAACGAAATTTTGGTTAACTAATTACATCCCATAAGGATCTTCTATTCGGTTAACAAACAAAACTTTGATTAACGAAATCCATGACAAACACGTTTTATTGTGAGCATCAGCTGATCAGCTGATGGGCTAGTCTGCCAATTCAGTAATCTGTTCTATGTTTACATTCGTTTCCAGTGGAGTAAATATCAAGAAAATTGTGCTCTTTAATATTTGTGCATTTTCTATATTAAAATTTATCCATTCTAAAATTTTGCCATCCAAGCTCTGTCTACATAAAGTTTTTCAACTATTATTTTGGGCTCGATATATGTAACTTTATTCATTTATTGAAACTCGTTTACATGCACACACTGTCCTAAGGGCAAAGCTGAACTGTGTATGTTATCAAAATAATGTACAAAATGATAACTTAAATTTTTGTCTAGTGCAAACTATCGCATGTTTACATTCAAATTTATCTCTATCTTATAAGAATTCTAGCAATGGAAATTATATTCTCCCTGGTCATTTCAGGCATTTTATAAGAGAGAAGCTTAGTCACTTAAGGACTGATAAATAAACACACATTAGACCTTGGGCACCAACTGTCAAACGTATCACCTCACCTCCCTCTCCCCCATCTGCGCAGCCAGTGTTTTAGGCTTACAGTTTTTATCTTATATAATATCTCAGACTAAAGTTAGAATATAATTTGCATAGCTTGAATCCTTGTAAGACAGCAAATAATTTGAATATAAATGTCATATATTTTGCACAAGAGATAAAAATTTATCACCTGTATCACATTACAGTAGTGATTTAAGAGTAAGAGAGTATATGTACGTATATAAATATAGTGATTTAAGGGCTATTTAGGGGAATTTTAGGAGTGTTTCTGACTTTATGCATTTTTGGCTTTACTTTGTATGTACTTTTCTGTGAGCTGGAACCAATTACCCAATATCCCATTGAAACAATGGTTTCGGTTAACAAACGACTCTGTGGAATAAATTGTGTTTGCTAACCGAGGGACCACTATATGTATGTCATGTTCAATAGTCAACTCTAACATGTAATTTATCTTTAAGAAATGGAAATAGGTCATTCACTGGTACTAGTGAAAAGTGAATTGACTTCAAAACTTATTAATTCATATGGCTCATTGTGTTTCTTGGGTCTATCAATTAAATCACTGCTGTTGTGTATACAGTGGTCCCTCGGTTAACAAACGCCTCAGTTAACGAAATTTTGGTTAACAAATTACCTTCCATAAGAATCTTCAATTTGGTTAACGAAAAAAAATTTGATTTACGAAATCCTCACGAAAATCACGTTTTGTTATGAACATCAGCTGATAAACTGAGGGGGTACTCAGCCAATTCAGTAATCTCTTCTATGTTTACATTCGTTTCCAATGGAATAAATATCAAGAAAATTGTGCACTTTAATATTTGTGCATTTTTGTATACAGTATTAAAATTATTGGTCATTCTAAAATTTAGCCATCCAAGCTCTGTCTACATAAAGTTTATCAAATATTATTTTTGGCTCGATATATGTAACTTTATTCATTTATTGAAACTCATTTACATGCACACACTGTCCTAAGGGCAAAGCTGAACTGTACATGTAATCAAAATAATGTACAAAATGATTACTAAAATTTTTGTCTAGTGCAAACTATGGCATGTTTACATTCAAATTAATCACTATTTTATAAGAATTCCAGCAATGTAAATTATATTCTCCCCGGTCACGTCTATGCAAATTTATGAGCAAAAAACAAAAACTCAATTAAACAACATAACTAAACAAATAAATACTTCACCAGACCTTTGGCTCTAACTGTCAAACATGTCACTGTCACCCCTCCCTCCCTCCCAACCTCCCCAGCGAGGGTTTGGTGGTTATACAATAGGCTTTAAGTTTTTATCTTATATAATATCACAAACTGAAGTTGGGTGAATATAATTTGCATTGCTTGAATCCTTGCAAGACAGTGAATAATTTGAATATAGACGTCATATATTTTATACAAGAGATGAAAATTAATCACCTGTATCACATTACAGTAGTGATTTAAGAGTAAGAGTATATGTACGTATATAAATATAGTGATTTAAGGGCTATTTAGGGGAATTTTAGGAGTGTTTATGACTTTATGCATTTTTGGCTTTACTTTGTATATACTTTTCTGTGAGCTGGAACCATTTGTCCAGTGGTGGGCACGGTTCCGCTAATTAGCGAAGCTAACTTTCTCGTTAGCGGATTAGAGTTTTCGCTAACTTTGGGAACCATTAGCGGACCAATTAGCTTCCGCTAAATTTAGTTCCGCTAACAAAATTTATACATGTTTGTTCCTGTCTGTTGTAAGTGTGTGATGCCACGATGCGTGTCTCCAACAGCCAGTCAGGCACGCTTGGTTGACTGCATGTTAGTACGTGTAAACGTACAACGTATAATGACTAAGACGAACAATAAGTTATATAAAAATGCACTGGTATAATGTGTATGTGGTTGGTATTGCATATTTACATGAATAATGCTGATAGGTTGTATGAGAATGCAAATTAATTATTTGTGAAATTGTGTACAGTGTACATTTTGATAAATTGATCATCATCTGATCTTGGCATGATGCTATTTGCTACCTAAGCTATACAGTACAATAGTTTTTGGATTCGTTTAATACTTTCTGTCTTTTCGTACAGTAAATAAAGATTATAAAGTGTACAGTGTGTTGAAACTTAAATGTATATTAATGTTTAATTTCATTTGTTCATTTAATTATTTGTGTACACCTTGATCATCATCTGATCTTGGCATGCTATACCTTTTTGGAAAGCTCTATGTCTAAGCTGCAAGACAACATATGAAAATTTCAGCTCTCTAGGTCTGTTTTTAAGGATTTTAGAGCCCCCACGAAAAAAGAAAAGAAAACGAAGCTAATTTCATATAATAAAAGTTAGCGGTTAGCGTTAGCTTCTGCTAATTTTTTTAGCGGTTTAGCGTTAGCGAAGTTAACTTTTTAGTTAGCAGATTAGCGGTTAGCAAAGCTAACTTTTCGTTTAGCTGTGCCCACCACTGCAATTACCCAATATCCCATTGAAACAATGGTTTCGGGTAACGAACGACCCTCTGGAATGAATTGAGTTCGTTAACCGAGGGACCACTGTATGTGAATTAGATATTTGACCTGTAAGAGGAGATAGCATCCTAACTAACCACTTGGATAATTTGTAACAGAACTCACGATAGGACGTAATGGATTATTTGGCTTATGTGCTTTGATGAATCCATACATATAAGGTAAAGTGGGATTAACTTGAGAGAATTGTTTGATGAGATCTGGGTTCTTTTTCAATAACACCTTCATTTTAGAATTAGATAAATTATTAATATTTTCCAGGTGATCTCTTGTAAACTCACAACAAGAGCTTTCATCACTCAGTAATGAATTCATCTTATCGTTATAATCGTTTTTATCCTAAATTACAATAGCATTGGACGTATCAGCCATAGTAATATGGATATTTTCATTAATATAAAATTTTTTTAAGGCTGTTTCAAATCTTTTTGGAATGATTAACACCATATTCTTATGTAAAACACTATGTTTACAACCTTTAGCTATGGAAATATCTTTATTTGTAACATCTCTCAACTTATTCTTTTCCAGTTTGATTATACCTTTAGCAATAGTAAGTGGATTAACGGTGCGCTGAGCAATATAAAACTTCCTACCAAAACCAAGCACAAGTTTCTCATTTGTCGTTACCTCATAAGATGATAAAATTTATGAACAAATTTGGATCACTTAGTTTAGTCCAGTAACTCTCATCAAACAAAGCATTTAATTTAACATTAAATCTCCTTTTTGGGACTTTTATCACTTTTGCTAAGTAATTGATTTACAAAATCACAAATACTGTAATATACAACCACACAGGACAAGGGAAACACTGGAGCACTGGTGAAGCTGTTGAGAGTAAACAAAATGGGCAATATAATAACAAAAGGAGTCGTGTATAGGGTCCCATATAATGACTGTAAACCAACATGTTATGGAGAAACTGGATGTGGACTGACTTAAAGGAATCACAGTGCATGAAGCTGATTAAGATGGCCAGTGTTCTCGTGGTGCCAAATTGTATTGATAACAAAATGAGGAAAGTGCTAGAGGCTGCACATATTAGTATGGGGGATTCCACCAGTAATAGAGTGGGTTTCATTAGTTTGCCAGAGATGGCGGCAAGGGTAGCCACAGGTGAGTGGTCAGAAGGAGTGGGATCAGTGAGCTGGGAGGTGGTGTGGCATCCTGATGGGTGATTGACACTTGTATATATAGTCCTGTAATTTATTGTTGGATTCTCCTTGAAGAAGATTCTTATGAAGTCAAATTTTCAGGAATAAACCTATGAAGTCAAATTTTCAGGAATAAACCTCAGCACAGACTGTTACTTTCATACCATCCTCCCTCTTGTGCTTATGTGTTGTTATTATTACTCCCCTTACTGATGAGCACCATAACTGTATGCTTTTTTACCTGTATTAGAGATACTGTGACATAACTGCAAAAAAAGTTTGTGAATTAGTGTACCTGATGCATACCCTGCTGGCTAGGAAGACAGGGAAGAAAACTTGGTGAATATCCAGCCAAATAATGTGGTGGTAAGTATAATATAGTATTGCTGGATGAGCACCCCTCACCCATAGACTACCATGCAAAGGGATAAATAAATCCTCCTGGTCTTATACTTTGTGCAGTCAATTTGTTTCTTCTTCTTATGATGAGTTTAACTTGTAACTCACCTCATCTACTATCATGCATTATATTAAAATACCTTTCAAACTGTTTATATTTTAGGTGGCCCAGATGCTATCAGAACACGAGTGGATAGTTGAAGATCGCAAATTCTTCGGACAGCCCAACACTGGTTATGATTTCACTGCTAATGATCCTGTGGAAGCTGGACGCAAGATCACCAAACTGGAAGAACTCAAGGCTAAATTGTCCAAGAATGTGAACATGAGAGCCATGAACATGTTGGGGAAAGCTGAAGAACAGGTAATGTGTTATGGAAGCTACACATCTACAACATTGCTAAGGCTGCCTCTCAAAAGCTGAGAATGCTGTAACAATGGCAACATTTACATAATTTTCTCCTCAGTATTGTGTGGGGTGGCAACACTGCCCTCAGACAATACCTGGCATGTTCTTCAGCTTGGTGTAGCAGAGTGAGTTGCTGTTGGGAGATGATGCCACAGTGCTTGAATTTTGTGCTTGATGATTTATCTGCTCTTGTGCCATACCTGAGTGACTTTATGTATAAGATCAATTATTATGCCAATTTTTTAATTAATTTTCAAATGTGACAAATTAGTTACATTTGTCTGTTGATAAAAAAGAAGAATCACTTCAACAGAGATGATAATTACCACTTTTATGAATTTTGGACAAGAGTGAGATGTGTAGTGTATCTTTCCAGACCATATTAATAGTGACTTGAGTTTCTTGAAAGGTGGTCATCATTTTAACTTTGTATGGGTACAATTTTACTTTCATTGCCAAGCTAAGATCTATTACAAAGTCAAAATTTAATGTCCTGTTAAAGAAAGAATTCTTTCCTTTTCTTTTTAAATCAGGATAAATGTTGAATCTGAAGAAAAAAAGTATAATATCACGAAAAAATATCGATTCCTTTTCTTGTATAAAATCAGAAAAAAATCTTTCATGTACTGTTGTGTCACGTCTTACGCGGTTGGTTACATTCTGAAGAGGGCGCATAAAGGCTTAACGCTTATTGTAAAAATTACCCTTGAAAATCCCTTAAATCACCCATAAAGTACATGGTTAATTGGTTATACAGGCAAACCCCGTTATTCATAGCCTCGGTATTCGTAACCCCATTTATCCGCAATCAATTTATTGTTAACCATTTCCACTATTTGCAATGGTTGCCCCGTTTACTTGCAAATTCTTATGAGCAAAAATTTTGAACCGCGCGCCTCAACCGTAGCGTAAGACAGCGTGTATACGTGTGTACGTATTCCTCTGCTATACGCTCCCACTCACTTCAGTCTCACACGTGCTGGCATGTGTTTTGTGTGATCTCGCAGTTGTGTTTTATGTGATCTCGCAGTTGTGTTTTATGTGATCTCGCAATGCTTAAGCGACCAGCTCCTGAAACTCCCAGCAATGCTGCTAAGAGATCACATGTGGCAATTACGTTGGACGTGAAATTGGATATCGTAAAAAGATATGAACACAGAGAAGGAACGTCAGTGATTGGGCACGTGCACGGCTTGGCTCCCTCTGCGGTGCATTCTATAGTTAAAAGTGCCGGCGAGATCAAGGAGATGGCCGGGTCTGCAACACCACTGACGGCTACGAAGGTGACGAGGTTCCGTGATGCTGAGATGAAAGTATGGAGCGGATGTTGAGCACGTGGATTGACGACCAGACCCAGCGCCTTAAAACACCTTTATCACAACGCATGATTCAACAGAAGGTAGTGGAGAACAACAGCTTTCAGTGCAAATTGACAACGATAATGACTGAGGTGGCTGACGACCCTGGCAGTGAGGAGAGTGAGGTGGCTGACGAACCCAGCCTCCTCTCACCCTCTCCCCTAATGCCAACTTCAGCAAGCAAGCAACACAGCACATCAGAGGTAAATTACACACACCTACGCACATAAACGTTCAGTCACTCACACACTCAAACATGTAAAGTACAGTATACTGTTTTTGTAAACATATACGCCTAATGAACTCAAAGTGTTTGTTATTGATGTTTATTTGATATTATGCCCTTGTTTCTTTATTTATTTTATGATATATATGTATTGAGTAAAACAAGTGTTAAAATCTGACGGCCGTGACCACCCGTATCCCCCCTATTTACATTATTTCTTATGGGAGAAATTGCTCCACTATTCGCAATTTCGATATTTGCAACGAGTTTCATGCTCGTAACATTTGCGAAAAGTGAGGCAGCCCTGTATATACTTGTCAATAGCATATCTGACGACTTGGCTGGTTAAATGTGCACCACACACAGTACAGTATGTGCCTAAAACATTATAAAATAATTATCATAAGGTCAAAAACATAAAGGGAATTAATCATTGTGTGTGTAGAAGCAAACACTGAGGGAGAGAGCTACAGCTGGTGTTTCCTCACTCACTGCTCCGCTCTCTCCGGAAACTAGTTTTTGGGCCTTCCTCAAGTAACTCAATCACACGCTGCTTATCCTGCATCGAGTACTTGGCAAACTTAACTCCCTTATGATAGTCTCGCTTCTCCTTTTCCTTATTTGGCCGCTTAGGCGGGTCTCTCCCACCCCCACCAGCACCAGTAGGACCCCCAGTACAGGTAGAGGCCATTATCTTGACTCAACAGGTGGTAACACCACCCATAAAAGCACACAATAGCAGCCCAGGCAGTCGCTAGGATGGCGTGGGCTACAGCGCAATAGTTGTGGTCTTGTGAACCTCTTTTACGTTCACCACCAGCAATTCGATCACCAAAATGCTTCTTGGAAACATTCTTCTTACCTTGTCTTTCCATATTCATCGCTAACACAACAAATTTAGAGAAAATCGGAAATCACAGAGTAATCGACAGAAATCACGCGATTCAACTGATCACGTGATGCAAGCAGAGAGCGCTGGTGTAAACCGTTATTAGTCCTCACTGCGAAACATTCTTTTTCTTATTCTTTTCATACAGTATTTATGGGCAACAGCTAAATTTGCAAAAAAAAGAACAAAATTTTCAGAGTACCTCCCAAAAAACACTTCACAAACAAAAGACACGAATCAATTGAACATGTGATGTCGAACATGAACTGTAAACATTGCTTAACCCTGCACAAGGTTTAAAATGTTGAGGATGGAATCGCGCTATAGTCAACATTCGTATGCAAAAGTTCGCGGTTTACAAACAGCATTCCCCTATTCATCAATCGCGTTACAACCAATTCATGTTGACAACACAAATTTCCTGAGTGAGTGGTGTCAGGCAGTCAGGTACCAGGGTTCTGTTTCCACATTCCAACACCTCACCTGCGGTGTTCCCCAGGGGACCAAGATGGGACCACTGTGCTTCCTCAACGACGCTCTATCGGACACTCCTCACAGGTGGAAGTACGTGGATGACTGCACTGTGGGGGTCACAGTGGGCAACACCTCACCGGACTACTCATCGCTACAAGGCACCCTGGACAGGCTACAGGCATGGACTACAGAGAACAAGGTCACCATCAACCACACCAAAACCGTAGTCATGCACATCAATACCGCCACCACTCCAGTGCAAGCTCCAGCAGTTACAGTGGGTGCCCATCCTCTCCAGTTAGTGCAGTCTACCAAACTCCTGGGTGTTACCATAGACCACAAACTGGACTGGAAGGCCCATGTAAACAACACAATCAAGGCAGCCTCGTACCGACTCTACATGTTACGACGACTCAGGTCACTTTGGGCACCCATGCCAGAGCTGAGGACCATCTACAGCGACTTTATTCTCCCCAAATTAACATATGCGTCACCAGCCTGGTCGTCTTCTCTCAACTCTACCCAACAACGTCAGCTAGAGAAGGTACAGAAAAGGGCCTGCAGAATCATGCTCGGCACAGACTACTCCGGTTACAACAACGCTCTCTCCACCCTGGAAATGCCATCCCTCATTGACCTCCACCACCAAGCACTAGCAAGATTTGGCAGTGGACTACTGCACCATCCTCGTCATCGCCACTTCCTGCCACCGGCAGCCCACTTCGCGCAGTCCGCCACTACAACAAAATTCAGCCCATAAGAGCCCACACTGATAGATATAAGAGTAGCACCATCCCATCTATTGTTAAAATAATAAACAACTGATTTATGTACTGTACAGCCCTGTAAATGTATTGAATGCATATCATTATGTCTAAATCACATGTAAGTTTGTATATTTTCAGCCACCAGCTGCAATTATTAATAAACCGTTTATTACTATTATTATTATTAAATGACTCTAACTGGTATGATGGCTGTGACGTCATTCAAGACAGTGGCCAACATTCAGCTTGCTGGATCTTGCGTTCAGCTGGTAGGATCTCGTGAAACTCACAATATTTTACGCCAAATATAAGTCTTGGTTATATAAGGTAGTGCTCGCGAAATTCAAAAATGCGAAATGAAGCCGCACGAAATATGAGATCTTACTGTAGTTCACTAAAATTTTCCAAGCTCCAACCTTCTTGTTGTAATTTCATAATGAGTTCCTCTTCATCTTCCTCAGCACTTTTTACCAATTCTTCCAAATCCTCTTCTGTCAGTTCCTCTCCATGCCCATCAATTAGCTCTTCCACGTCTTCAGCAGCCATGTCCACAAACCCCTCACCACCCAACTGACGTGCAACACTCACAATGTCATTCACATCCTTTACTATGGACGGAAATCCCTGGAAGTTATTCACACATTCAGGCCATAAGGTGTGCCAACAAGCAGTCACTTTCTCTGGTTTGAGTTCATTGAATAATTCACTGATGTTGGTAATGCAGTCCACAATGTTGTTCTCCTTCCAACACTTGCTAACATCAAGGTCAGGGTCTTCATCCATGGCACTACGGATACAACCAAAAGAGCGGCATGTATAATATGCCTTGAAGGTGCGTATTACACCCTGATCGAGTGGCTGTGTTAGGGGGTAGGAACACCATCTCTACACCTGGATGGCTAAACTGTAAACTTTCTGGGTGGCCTGGTTGATTGTTTATCAATAATAACTCCTTGAATTCCATCTTCTAGGAAGCAAGGTATTTTTCCACTTCCGGGACAAAGCATTTATGGAACCAGACCAGGAATGTTTGCCTCGTTACCCACGCCTTTTTGTTGGACTGCCAAAACACTGGCAAAAGGTTCATGTTTTTACCCTTTAAAGCCCTAGCTAGGGTTTGCTGAGTGGTAAAGCAAGCCAGGCTTGATCACGTGACCAACCACATTGCCACAGAAGATCAACTTCACTCTGTCCTTGGCTGCCTTGAACCCAGAGGCATGCCACTCCTGCTTGTTTATGTATGTTCTACCAGACTTTTTCTTCAAATATAAACCAGATTCATTGGCATTAAACACCTGCTCTGGTCTACAGCCTTTCTCTTCTGTTATTTTCCAAATGTCAATGTATTCAAGTGGAAGTAAAAAAGTATCTCTTTAAAGTACTCAAGTACTGAAAGTTAAAGGTAACAACAAAATTATTAAATATCTTAAATATTAAAATAAATCTACAGTAAATTATGAAAAAAATAGTTAACTAAAGATAAAAATAAGAGACACAAAGCATTACTTATGTTTATATACAAATCTTTCTATTAAGATTAATCAATAACTGGTTCTCAAAATTATGGCTGTCCAATCAGGATCTTTTAGACCTAAATATAAGCCCAGCATAACCTATCAAAGGAGAATATCTTCAGTCGCTCTTCTCCCTCCAATCCATCGTAGT